CTAGCGACCAGCTGTTCAGTTTGCTAACATACGATATTACATTGCATGGGATCTAGCAAAAGCCGATATAAGCGCGCAGATGCGTGGTAGGGGAATCAGATGTGTAAGGGCTGGCGGGAATGGACTTCTAAGCTAACTGGTTAATCGGGTGTTTATTACATGAGTTGGATAATACCAGGAGAGAGTATGTGCTTGAAAAATAGTCACCAGTCCCCGAAGCACTGCTATCAGCTCTAATCTGTAGGTGGTGCTCTTTGCCATCATTGCGGCATTAGGTTACAAGTGTGCACAAGGTTGTACGCAAAGTCGACTGGCATCCGAGTCGAATTCGCTAGGCACCAACGGACGATCCACCGGACCATCTGCGCATCTCTAACAGGCGGTAGACATCTTGTGCCAAGTGGAATGTGGTGTCGTGTGGGACGCAGAATCCGACCTCAACATCAATGTCCGGAGACGAAACAAAATCACACCAACTGGACGGATGTTTCGTGAACCGGCTCCGAACCAAGGGGAGGCTTCCGGTCATTGATCAGAATATAAACTACTCAGAGTCGAGGATTTTATCTCGCGCCTCTCACCACAGCTCCAGGTTTATAACACCAACTTGTGGAAAATTCTGTGGTAGTTATATTTACACAGTTGTAACAGTTTCCCTTTGTCGCCATTCGCGACTGTCTCTAGACCTCAGCCCTTCTAATATAACGTGGTGGAAGAGCCAAGGACCTATGGTGATCCTTCTGACCATTGTACCAGCCCTTCTTAACGTGGTGGAAGAGCCAAGGACCTATGGTGATCCTTCTGACCATTGTACACTTGTACTTTCTTTGTAACTAATCATTAATTACATTGTACCACTTTCTTTCTCTCACTAAAATCTCAGCTTATTCCTCTTCTCTTCATACCGAATAATTTTTGTTTAAATGAAAGCAAAAAAGAAATATGACACAATACAAATTCTGTACTTCGTGAAAAGCGTGTTCCCTTCTTGCCGTGTCGAGTTACGCTGTCAGTGAATTAACGAGCGGTGATCTACCTTTCAGACTACGACGGGATAGAAAGTATCTAGGAACATATTAAGGAAGATCCCAGGAAGGAGATCGATTTGGATTTATTGTGGTGGTAATAACTAACTGTACCAAGGAACTCTGAGTTGTATAATCTCGTCTATTTTTACTCACTTGATTTCACCACTGAACTAGTATTTGCTCACGTTATCCACTACATCCTTGGTGAGCCCGAATTTTATTTCTTTTAGATCGCCTAGAACTCCCGTATTCATTTTTCTCATTACTATCATGTCTGATTCAAACGATTCACTTATGGACTCGTAAGGTATTTTGAGTTTAAGACTACCAGCTTATGGTATTCATCATCCTGGACTGTGGTTTGCTCAGGTAGAGGCAATTTTTGAGTGCCGTCGCGTTAGATCACAACAAACC